GTGGTTTCCAAGCAACAACATCAAAACATACAGTCACAACATGAACAAAAAAATAACAGTGACAGCAACATAAGCATGGAATTACCCAACAACATCTCTCTCTCTCTCTCTCTCTCTCTCTCTCTCTCTAATATACTGCCTGCTCTTCATGTCTGTTTGTTAGGGCATGGACAAGGAATGGGTCAGGACAATTAAAAAGGCTGGGTCAAGACTGATACAAATTGAAATAAGATGGGACCGGCATTTGGGTGCAGTACTGTAATAGGTAAACAACAAAAGCAGGGATAACTTTATATACTCCACACAAAATGTGCCTGAGGAAGATTTAACTCTCGACTAGACTACTGGAGCAGGAAAAATGTCGGAAATTTGTTCAAGAAATCTCTATTGAGCATGACAAGACAAAAGACAATGTTAAAGGCAATGCTGAGAAGTGTCCAGCAGTGTGCTATATAAAAAGTTGATTTGAATGTGAAAGTACAAAGCATTTAATTAGAGACTGTTCACCAAGAAAAAAGAGCGAGAAAAAGGGTGTGGCTTCAAAAAGGAAAGAGTTTGGTCTACCAAAGGGGAGAAAACTCAAGTGTAAATGCTTTGAGTAAATGTAAAGGTGTAAGCAAGATAACTTGGTTGTTAGATTCAGGTAGTGCTGAGCATCGTATTATGTGTATTTTATGTATTTTTTACATTCTGTATATCAACTTTACACAATAATAAAAAAGGAGTGTGTGTGACTTGCCCAAAGTCACCCATTGGGTTGCCATTGCTAAATGAGATCTGAGCCGTGGTTTCCAGTTCTCAATGCTGAAAGACAGCTTTTTGCCTGAGTGTGTGTATCCTTCTTTAATCTCTGTCTCCTTTCCACAAGATCTTGAAAATCCTATGGACAGAAAGTTTCCTTTGGATAAGAAATAACTGGAGTAGAGCCACACAGTTGTTTTATGATTTTTCTCCTATTTTCAATGTCCCCAAACACAGTATGAGGACAACTTGCCCCAAGCTGTTTCAATCCCAGGAGAAGCCTTTTCTCCAGATGGGAATAACCTTGGTGCAATTTATCTCTGTTGCAAAAAAGAAAAGAAAGCAACCCCCCCCCACCCCCAAACCAAGCCCTCTTCTGGAATTAAATTGACCCAGGTAAGACCAAAAAAGGTAGTGAAATTGCCACTGCACCCCTGTGTCCATCTTGCATTTGTCTACTAGAAAGAGATTTCCACAGCTGGTTCAGATTTCTTTTCCACCACATGTAGAAACAACTCACAACACTGAATCCAATATCAAGTTCTACTCACCTGATGCTTTCCAACCAGTATTTAAATTACAGAGAGCCAATTATGGTCAACTCAATGTAAAGTAAAGCTATGAACATGAATCGAAAAGTAAAACTCATCCAAAATCAGCCAGTGGAGTATCATTCTGTAGTGACTAAGAAACGGAATATTATTTCTTGAACAGTTTGATTCATCAGTAAAACTTCAGTTGAGAGATAAAAGTGACCTGATGGTATCCTTTTCTCAAAGTGAGGACACTAAACTTTTAAATACTGAAATCTGCTGATAGTTTCATAGATATATTAAGCAATCTGTTGATATATGTCTGAGAACAAGCAAGATGTGACTGTAGCGCAAGTGTTTGTCTCTTCCTCTCCACAGTAGTCCCAGTTAAATTCAGTCCTACCCTGTGTGATTACCTAGAAGAGAGAAGCTCTCAATGGGTTAGTCGATAGTTGAAAAATGTGTGCATTAAAATGTGTTCACATTCCATGGAAATCATGTGAAATTGAGATGTAAGTCAGCAGAGGGTGAATGGAATGATCAACAATAGCTGGCAAAAATAACCTCTTTGTATTGTAAGGTAAAATCTATAAATAAAACCTATTTAGAAAGTGGCTGTGTTTGCAAAAGTTAACAGTTGAATGCTTATACAATGTTCATTAAAAGTGAAAAAGTCTCTAGGGGAGACTTTCGTGGAGCTTAGTTGCCAGTGTCTTCTGCTGTTTACATGCCAAGTGTATCTTCTGTTTAAAATGGAACATTGCAGTGGAATTTAACACAAGGAATTTAACGCAAGTAAACATACTCCAGGAAAGCAACACAGACCTTCTCTCTCATCCTTGTTAAACAGGAAAGGAAGCAAATATGTTAGAAGGGTTCCACAACATTGCCTCAGAAACTAGTAAATAGCTTCTTTGGATACATCCTATATTGTAGAATTAATACAGTTTGACACCACATTAACTAGCATGGCTTTATGCTATGGAATCTTGGGTTTGTAATTTGGTAAGGTATCAGCAATCTTTAGCAGAGAAGGCTAAAGATTTTGTAAAATCACAATTCCCATAATCCCATAGCCTTAAGTTATGGCAATTAAAGTGATACCAAACTGCATTAATTCTACAATGTAGATCAGTGGTTCTCAACCTGTGGGTCCCCAGATATTTTGGCCTACAACTCCCAGAAATCCCAGCCAGTTTACCAGCTGTAAGGATTTCTGGGAATTGAAGGCCAAAACACCTGGGGACCCACAGGTTGGGAACCCCTGATGTAGATCCACCTTTGGACTACAACCCCTAACCCAACCTGGCTATCTCTTCATATTACTGACTTGGTTTATGCTGGTTGCCATTTCATCTACTGCACTGAAGACTTCTTATTACTGCTTGACTCCTTTAAAAATAATAATAATTATTATTATTATAGAACTGTTTTGGGGCTGCCGGGCTATAAAGCAGGATGTGATGTGTCATAAATAAGTATAACTTTCTCCCAAGAACAGAATCACATTCCAGGAGAAAGACAAGCTATAAAATCGACAAAAAATAAAATTAAAATAAAACATTTTAAATTAAGTGTAGCATATTCAATTTCATATCCAGTGCATTATTGTGGGAACTATACACATTTACTGGTACCCACACATTCTATAGCTAAAGAACCAACCATTCAAGGCTTAAAAAGAAACATCTAGTCAGGGAATTTTTTATCAATTCTGCAAGCATCTACATTCTAAGTAGCAGTGAAGCCAGTTAATCCTTTGTGGTAATTAACTCGAGTTTTGTACAAATACAAAGAGTTATGTTCTCAACTGCATACGCTATGTTCCTATCCAGCTGAACAGTTACAACATCAGATGTTCAACTTTATACATACCTTGAAAAGTAGTATAACCTTTGAAATTGCAGGGAATTAGGAGATGCTGGCTACAGAAACATGGCTCCCTTATTGAAACAGCTTCACCAGCTACCAGTCCGTTTCCAAGCAGAAATCAGAACATGGATTGTGGCTTATGACTAATAAAGGTGAAAAACTGTTCAGGTACAGGCTGCTTGAAGAATTATGCCTACACATATGAGCTTGACAAATCTCCAAGATCTTCAGATGAAACACTTCTGTTGATCTTCACAGGCATGTTTGGTGGTAATCATAGAGTGGGCCTTTTCAGTTTCTCTGACTCTGCAACTTGGGAAATTGGTCTAGTTTCCTCCTCATTGTCCTTTCCTTGGCATTGAAAGCCATCCTATTTGAGAAGGTATTTAAGCACAATTTGTTCCACACAAAACAGCTTTCTGTGTGCTATACAGCTTTCATTCTGTGATCTTAATGCTTTAAAGGGATTTAATTTTACAGAGCTTGTAATTATTTTTATCTTGATTTCTGTATTGCTTTGGCTATGCGTTGTATTGTTTTTGCAAACCTAGTGGTGAGAAGTCTGTGTTAGACAGAGGGAGCCATATTAGCAACATCATCTACATATGCAATTGATGGTTTGGAGATGAAATGGCTATCACTTAACATTATTATTAGAGCTGTATAGGTTGGAACAGATCCAGTAATCAGTACCAACAATAAAATGATTCAATGCATTTCTTCAGGTGCAGCCTTAGGCCTTTAAACAGGAAGAAATACTGGGATGATACCTGGGCACCACTATATGGTTCCTTGCCACCTGGGGGCTCTTCCAGACAGGTCCTATATCCCAGGCACTGATCCCAGGTTTTCTGTTTATCCCAGATTCTCTGGCAGTGGGAACTTATATAATCCAGTTTAAAGCAGAAAACCTGGGATATAGGGCCTGTCTGGAAGGGCCCGGGAGGGGGGGTAGGTGGCATAGGCAGGTTCCCCCCTCCCAAACTTGGTATTCTAGCCTTGTATGTTTATTCTGCTAATATTCCTTAAAGAGACCATGTGAAATGGTGAGTTTGAGACCTAATTTCCACTAAGAAATGGATCTTCCCCCATGCTACACCAGTACTACTGGATGTCAGATTAAACTCAGTTAAAATGTTATGGCTTATATAGTTCACATCCTGGCTGGCCAAAGGACTATTCTTTCCTCTATGGGGCTGCAAAAGTTCCTTAGGGGAATTGTTTCTCTTGATTCTACCACCTTTACAGTTTTGCTTGGTAGGAATGTGTAAGACTCCTTCAACCAAGGATATTAACAGACACTCTATCTTGCTATCTACTTAAGACAAGTGGTAGGCATGTTTGGGTTTGGAAACATTCCTTGCAACTAAACTGAAGAATCAAACTTGGCTAGTCAGTTTCTCTTATCCTCTGAATACATGGAATGTTAAGTAAATCCCATTGAGTCTAGGTGGATCTTCTTTTGTTTAAATGCTTGCCCTAGAAGTAGGATAGGAGACCAATTTTATGCATGACTAATAAAATTGCAATTAAGTGATACTGAACTATCACTGTTAACAGAAATCTTTGCATTGGTTGTTAAATCGTAATCATAAATGGACAATTTGTCAAACAAAATAGCAGCCTGATAGGTGAAGTGTGAAATAATTGTTCTTTTACATAACAAGATGTATTGAGGGAGCAAAAGCCTGCTCATGAGTAATAAACGTAACTGCTGATTTCTTATTTATTAACAGTAAATTATTGAGCTCAGTACTGATTCAGAGGGTTTACACATCTCACACCAAAAATGTATTTGACAACTAACCACAATATGTATATATTGTAGAAATAACAACTGTGGCCACAACAATAATAGATGCTTCATTAACCAACGTTCAGATTTACTAGAAAGCAAAATTACACCAGTTCATTAGTAGAGTTTACAAACATTTTAAAAGTCTGTAACACTTGAAATTACCAAAAAAATGTGATAGTACTTTCTTCAAGATGAAAAAAAAACAAACAGTTAGGGCATGTGGTGGGAGTACACAACTCATCTTGTGATTGGTGTCCACTTGATTGCCACAGCAAAATCATTTTTTATTCCAATCTCACCTATGGAACTGAAAATACAATCCAGTTCTAGACAGTGAATATACATCATATTTCATGTTTGAAAACAGTCACTTTATCAGATTTGAGGGGAATCCTCTCCCACCTGCTCTCAATATAACATTTCTTCTTTGAAGTTTTTTATCAATAACTTTCCTCTCAAAACTTTATCACTAAAAAAGAAAAGAAATATAGTTATTTAAAGGATTAGATTTAAGATTCTTGATTTCCAACCAGCTACAAGCAAAGTGACCTAACTGCTCTGAGAAAACACAAGACACACCAGACTATACATTAGTTACATCATATTTATCTTGTAAATGAAAGAATGTAGATGAATCTTCAGGTTAGCAAATTCATCAGTTTAGCATTTGATTTTATAATCATTGTGTGCACACAACTAAACTATGAAAAAAACAAAAACAAAAAGAAACCTAGCCCTTTCAAAACAAGTGGTAGAAAAATTCACAGTCACAGAAGTTGCCTTCATAAGCCTTTTGAATAGGGGCAGTGTGGCGCATCTAAATTGTACAATATAAAACATTGTAAGTAACAGCTGAAAACACAAAAGCAGAGTTCCTTTTTTGAAAAACAACAACAACAAAACCAAATGGTGCTTCCTTTACAAGTGATTTTAATATGTGAACACTCTAGTCAGACAACCTTCAAAAATCACTGAAACCATTGTCATACAATGCAACTTGAGCCTCTGCTGAACTGAAAGCCTTTTGCTACAAGATCTAGTTTCCTCTGCCTCTTATTGGCATTTCACCAAGTGGTTGTTTGCAATGAGATCCATCTGCCAACAAAGTCTTGAGATCAGTAACCAAGTCTCAACCATCACTAGCAGAGGTAGAGAAAGTTCTGTCTGCTGCCATAGCCTGCCTTTGCATTTTTAGTACTGGATTATGCAGGTTCCAATAATGTGGCCCATACATTTTTATTATATTTTTTGGTTTCATTGGCTTGCTCACAAGATGCAAGCTTCTCCTAACAGGCTCTTGCAGTTGGGACACATCCCACAGTTGCTGCAGCCAGTCAAAGTGGGGCATCAGCTTTCTTGTTTTGCTGCTTCCCCCTGGGCTTCCCCAGTTTGTTCGGTGGGATTCCTCTGTGCATCTCCTTCCCCTTCTGCAAAATAAAACAAAAACAAAGAAGAGCAGCTGCAGTGAAATAACGTCCTCACTGACCTAATGCAGAGCCAGTAAAAAGGCAGTTCTTATAGCTTTAACCAAGTCACGGACATTCCCAAACACCAATTACAGAGTGGGGGTTGTTGTGGGTTCTAATGATGTACAAAATTGTGCATTGAAATATGGTAGAAGTTATCCAGAAAGTACCAGATGGAGCACATTATGTTGGAAGTGGCTGAGTGGCAGGGAACTATGTCAAGCCACCATGAGTATCTTTTTAGAGTTTAGATGGAAATGTCTTCATAACAACCCTGGATAGAAATGTCACATGAAGCAGCTTGGAAATATGCCTTAAAGAAGTAGTTCTTGTGCCATAATTATATAGAGTAGACTGATTAACATGCTATCCTTTTAACAGTTGAAGCAAAAGGAGTGCAAACATGTTTCCAAACAGAGAATTCCTAGCAACCTCTGTCAGAAAGTGCAGTTGAGCTATTCTGGCAAGGAAAAGATAGAAGTGTTCAAATGTATGTGTATAAAGAACAGATTTAAAAACAGATCGGCACTATCTATACCCTGTGGTAAACTGTAGAGCAAAATTAAATTAAACATTCTGAATAATTAATAGACACACTCAATTAATAAGCAAAATGTTTCAGCTTCTCCCCTGTTTGGTTGCTTAAAATAAAAGTGAGCACCTCAATTCTCAACAGGGACAAATTAGGCAGAGAGTGAGAGTAAAAGCTGTCCCAAAAACACTAGTCAGAAACCGGACTTGTACCCTTGTGACTGCAAATGTTGCATCACCTGGGTTTATTTTTAGGAGACAGTCACTTTAGGGGCACAGGTGTCTGGTGGGAACTACTAAGTCAAACAAAACATCAGCTGTAATCTAATCTGTATGACTGAACATGAATGCACAAGATATTGTTGAAAAAACGACCATAGACCTAAATGGAAGCTTAACGAGTCACAGGTATACAATCTTGATCAATTCAGTAATTAGTGGCCAAACATTTTAACTCAACATCACAGCCTCTTTGTTTTGTCCCTGTTTGGAGCTGAGTTGACATCTTATTCAAGTATTTGAGGCAAAATGGCAGATAATTCATCAAGTAAACTTTCAAGCATTTCTAAACTGGCACTGTGGCTGCAAACACTGGTATTTTAAGCAGCCGAGGAGGGTGGAAATAAAATTGTTTTGCTTTTTTGAATTATTAAGGTCTGTTTGCTAATCAGACAGACACACACACACCAAGAGCCAGAACAAACTTGTAAGAAGCAAGGTCCACAACATTTTTCTATGAATATACCAGAACACCAATGATATTTAACAACAATTTATTTAACTGTTAAAAAGTTGAGCACTTACCAGTTTTGTTTATATCAAGTTCAGATAACTTTAGTGACAGCTCACTGGAATTCCCACTTGAGGAAGATACAAGGATATCATGAAGGGCATTTCTTCTCCCAGTTCGTCCAGAAGCAATGAAATCTGCATATGTAGATTCCACATCAGTCATTGCTAACAAGTATCCACATAGCAGTACCTAAGAGAAATAAAAGTATAAAATTACTGGATAATAGAGGAGCAAGGAATGGGTAACCTTTGGGTCATCAACTAGTTTGGACTATAACTTCTATAACTTTTTACCATTGATCCAGTTGGCTGGTGCTGATGGGACAAAACATCTGGAATACCCAAGGTTCCCCCCATCTTCCAGAATGGAGAAAAATGCAGAAGCCTTTAAAAACCTGATATACAGCTGACACTGTATTTTGTTCCTCATATTGTTTATGCTATAAACATTTTTCACAGAGTTAGTTTCAAAGATGCTACAAAATCCCTACTGCATACTGATACAATTAACATGTCTTTGTCTTTGAAAATGTTATTTCATCTCATAAGACTGAATGGAAACTCCTGATCTCCCCCCCCCCCCAAATATATATATTTAAGAAGAGACACCTTATGAATTTTAGAAAAGATAAAAAGAAGAGCAAAAAGGAAATGTTGGCAGCATCCTTAAAACTGGTTTTTATTTTACTATAAGATCAATTAGTACTTTCACAGAAGTAAATATGAGATTCTACATATGTAAATATTCAAAAACAAAACCAAGACCTAAAACAAAAACATGAGAACACAATAAAACACAGTAAGTTGAACAGTGATATCAAAATATACCACAAGAAAGTATGGATGGTGATGGTGGTTGTGTTTAATGCATGTAAAGTATACAAAGAAACTGCTTGACACCATAATTGCCATTTAAATCTTTATCTTGGCCCATTCATGCTGCAGACTAATAGTGCTATTATTCCACTTTTAACAACCATGTTTCCATTCCATGTAATCCTTGGGCTTCTAGTTTGGTGAAGCACTAGAACTCTCTGACTAAGACTTCCCTGGGACATTTATGCTGGGAGGCAACATCTCTTAGATGTGTTGGGAATCACCCCTACAGGATCAGAACTTAGTTGTATAGCAGTCTCTTGATATCTGCTGGATCCTCAAGTCCTATTATATACAATGATATAGTAAAACTGTGGCCCTTATATAAAATAGTAAAACCAAGATTTGCTTTTGGGAATTTTTTGTAAGGTGAGGATAAGTAGTAGGTGGATGAATTATGGGAGTTGGCTGTATTTACAACCAAATAGGCAGCTGATGCAGTTGACTCTTTCCCAGATAAAGAAAATATTTTTCTTGCAAGAGTTTCTGAAACATTTTTAAACAGGATCACAGCAAATACTTCAATCAGCTCCAAATTCATACCTGAAAGAGTAGGTCAAAAAGGTAGACTCATTATCATAACACCCCTCCACCCAAAGGTCTCTTTGTCTCTACTACTTTCAAATGGAAACATCATTTTGAGATCAACCTGCTCTTGGAAAGATCTATTTTTGGTCTTTACTGGTGTAGCCCCTGACTCCACCCCCAAATTTCCTCAGCACAGACCAAGAGACAGACAGCTATATGACCCTTCCTGGAGCCAACTGAACAGTTATTTGAGAAGCAAGAGGAAGGGGATTAGGTATAACACTTTATACAGGCTAAATATAGCTATATTGGATTGACAGAACTTTGGAGAATGGCATATGACAGCAGGGTAAGCAGGCCAAACACTGACATGCTACATTTAAACTCTGCGAACAAGGATAGAGCTCATGAGTTTGTTTAAGGCAGAGCAAGGACGTAACCAGTTTATCTAACTTGTTTTTTAGCAACTTGATCTGCAATAATGACTTGGTACTTTGTTACTTTTTTGCCTGTAATACAGTACAGAGCAATGGGGGGTTTACTTGTTAGCAATTACTTAATGTGTTGAGAGTCTGAGCAAAAAAAGAAAAGTGTGTGTGGGGGTGGCTCTCTGTCCCATTCCTTTGTGGGATTTAGGAAATGCCAACAACCAGCAATGCAGAGGGGGAGAAAGAGGCATACTGACCTGTCCTAGAAACTCAGAATTGCTGAAAATTAAACTTTTTTTTTTTTTAAAAAAACCCTCTTCATTCTGCTCAAATGAAAAATACCATTGCCAGCAGTACAAAGGCAAAGAAACCCACTATAAGTGTGTCTTACAGCAGCAGGTTGCTCCGAACCACAACATGAACAACAGAGAAGCAGTTTTGAATTTTATGTAGATGGAAGTCTTATATCCAACTGGATTGTATGTGTGTGGAGTATTTTCCAGGCCATCTAAGTGGGAAGAGAGTGCCAATAAAGAATTCCTTTGTAATATCTTTTGCAATTTTCTCAGAAGTTCCCAGACAGAACATCTGGAATTGGCTTCTTTCAGTGCCACATTTCAAATGAGTTCATTCAATTCTTGCATCTTTTTGACACACATCAAAAATCAGAAGTATAACTGCAAAGATTTTGGTATGCAATGATATATGTTTATATTTCAGGATTTTATCTTGACTCTTAATAACAGGTCTTCCCAGTCTTCTGATTTCTTGACTTGTTGTTGTTCATTCGTTCAGTCGTCTCCGACTCTTCGTGACCTCATGGACCAGCCCACGCCAGAGCTCCCTGTCGGCCGTTACCACCCCCAGCTCCCTCAAGGTCAGTCCAGTCACTTCAAGGATGCCATCCATCCATCTTGCCCTTGGTCGGCCCCTCTTCCTTTTGCCTTCCACTTTTCCCCAGCATCATTGTCTTCTCTAGGCTTTCCTGTCTCCTCATGATGTGGCCAAAGTACTTCAACTTTGTCTCTAGTATCCTTCCCTCCAGTGAGCAGTCGGGCTTTATTTCCTGGAGGATGGACTGGTTGGATCTTCTCGCAGTCCAAGGCACTCTCAGAAATTTCCTCCAACACCACAGCTCAAAAGCATCTATCTTCCTTGCTCAGCCTTCCCTAAGGTCCAGCTCTCACATCCGTAGGTTACTACAGGGAATACAATGGCTTTGACTAGGCGGATCTTTGTTGCCAGTGTGATGTCTCTACTCTTTACTATTTTATCGAGACTGGCCATTGCTCTCCTCCCAAGAAGTAAGCGTCTTCTGATTTCCTGGCCACAGTCTGCATCTGCAGTAATCTTTGCACCTAAAATACAAAGCCTGTCACTGCCTACATGTTTTCTTCCTCTATTGGCCAGTTATCAATCAGTCTGGTTGCCATAATCTTGGTTTTTTAACGTTTAGCTGCAACCCGGCTTTTGCGCTTTCTTCTTTCACCTTGATTAGAAGGCTCCTCAGCTCCTCCTCGCTTTCGGCCATCAGAGTGGTGTCATCTGCATATCTGAGGTTGTTAATGTTTCTTCCAGCAATTTTCACCCCAGCTTTGCATTCATCCAGCCCCGCACATCGCATGATGTGTTCTGCATACAAGTTAAAAAGGTTGGGTGAGAGGATGCAGCCTTGCCGTACGCCTTTCCCAATCTTGAACCAGTCTGTTGTTCCGTGGTCAGTTCTGACTGTTGCTACTTGGTCCTTGTACAGATTCCTCAGGAGAGAGACAAGAGTGGCTTGGGATGCCCATCCCACTAAGAACTTGCCACAATTTATTATGATCCACACAGTCAAAGGCTTTAGAATAGTCAATGAAGCAGAAGTAGATGTTTTTCTGAACTCCCTGCCTTTCTCCATTATCCAGCGGATATTGGCAATTTGGTCTCTCGTTCCTCTACCTTTTCTAAACCCAGCTTGTACATCTGGCAACTCTCGCTCCATGTATTGCTGGAGTCTTCCTTGCAGGATCTTGAGCATTACCTTACTGGCATGAGAAATAAGGGCCACTGTACGGAAGTTTGAGCAGTCTTTCGCATTTCCCTTTTTTGGTATGGGGATATAAGTTGATTTTTTCAAGTCTGATGGCCATTCTTGTGTTTTCCATATTTGCTGGCAAATGGCATGCATCACCTTGACAGCATCATCTTTTAAGATTTTAAACAGTTCAGCTGGGATCCCGTCATCTCCCGCTGCCTTGTTGTTAGCAATGCTTCTTAAGGCCCATTCAACCTCACTCCTCAGGATGTCTGGTTCTAATTCATTCACCACACCGTCAAAACTATCCTCAATATTATTATCCTTCCTATACAGATCTTCTGTATAGTCTCGCCACCTTCTCTTGATCTCTTCAGCTTCTGTTAGGTCCCTGCCCTCTTTGTTTCTTATCATACCAATTTTTGCCTGAAATTTACCTCCAATGTTTCTAATTTTCTGGAAGAGGTCTCTTGTCCTTCCTATTCTGTTGTCTTCTTCGACTTCCATGCATTGCTTATTTAAAAATAGTTCCTTATCTCTTCTGGCTAACCTCTGGAATTGCGCATTTAACTGGGCATATCTCCCCTTTTCACTGTTTCCTTTTGCTTTCCTCCTTTCTTGGGCTACTTCCAGTGTCTCAGCAGACAACCAGTTTGCCTTCTTGGTTTTCTTTTTCTTTGGAACGTACTTTGTTGCCGCCTCCTGAACAATGTCTCGGACTTCTGTCCATAGTTCTTCTGGGACTCTGTTTACTAAATCTAGTCCTTCAAATCTGTTCTTCACTTCCACTGTATATTCGCTAGGAATGTTAGTGAGATCATATCTAACTGGTCTGTGTATTTTCCCTGATCTCTTTAGTTTTATTCTAAATTGGGCAATAAGAAGTTCGTTATCTGAGCTACAGTCAGCCCCAGGTCTTGTTTTCACCGACTGGATGGATGTCCGCCACCTTTGGCTGCAAAGGATGTAGTCAATCTGATTTCGGTGTTGACCGTCTGGTGAGGTCCATGTGTAAAGCCGTCTTTTAGGTTGTTGGAAGAGAGTATTCGTTATACACAGCGAGTTTTCCTGGCAAAATTCTATCAGCCTGCGTCCGGCTTCATTTTGTTCTCCCAGACCATGCTTGCCTGTGATCCCTGTTGTCATTTGACTTCCACCTTGGCATTCCAGTCTCCTGTAATGAAAATAATGTCTCTTTTTGGTGTATTATCCAGTAGGTCCTGCAGATCCTCATAGAACTGATCTACTTCTGCTTCTTCAGCAGCTGTGGTTGGGGCGTATATTTGGATCACTGTGATGTTGAAAGGCTTTCCTTGCACTCGAATTGAGATCATTCTGTCA